CACCTGAACATCAGCAGGAGAGGACTCTTTAAAGTAGAGACACTACATACTGATATACACCTGAACATCAGCAGGAGAGGACTCTTTAAAGTAGAGACACTACATACTGATATACACCTGAACATCAGCAGGAGAGGACTCTTTAAAGTAGAGACACTACATACTGATATACACCTGAACATCAGCAGGAGAGGACTCTTTAAAGTAGAGACACTACATACTGATATACACCTGAACATCAGCAGGAGAGGACTCTTTAAAGTAGAGACACTACATACTGATATACACCTGAACATCAGCAGGAGAGGACTCTTTAAAGTAGAGACACTACATACTGATATACACCTGAACATCAGCAGGAGAGGACTCTTTAAAAAGAACAGGTTAAGGACCTCAGTAAGTTGGAGTGTTGGCTCATATCAGAGTCTGTGTTTGTCCAGATGTTAAAGTGAATGATGCAAGCTGTTGGCTCGGTGGATGTTGAGGAAGGCGTGCGCTCTCTTCCTGGCTTCCTGGATGTAAAGCTGCATGAACTCTCTCCCAAACAACTCCCTGTCCTCTTCCTCCTCCTCCTCCTCCCCCTCCCTCCTCCTCCTCGCTGCTCTTCCTCCTCTTGCCTGGCAGCGTCACCTCCAGACTCAGAGGGTTGTCTCTGAAGTTGACGAAGCGCAGTTTGGACATGTCCTCCATCAGCGGGGGGATGTCTGACAGTCGGTTGCTGCTGAGGACCAGCGTGGTCAGGTTCTGCATCCGGACGATGTTCTCTGGGAGTCTCTGCAGCTCGTTCCTCTGCAGCCACAGGGTGTGCAGCCTCTCCATCCTGAGCACACACACACTCACTCATCAGTAAACGGGATGGAAACACTCCAGATGCTCTTTAAGGTTCATGAACGTTGTATAAGATGCACATCAGAGGGAGGGTTTCAATGTTTACTGTTCCCGTATTCCAAACCTGTACTACTCCCTGTAACTGCAAGTCTATTTCACTGCAACTGGTGAAATGTCCTCAACTTCTTCTAAATGAAGAATTGTAAAAATGATACATTATGTGTGCGGGGCTTTTATTGTGAAAGGCAGTGGCTGAAGAAGTATTCACTCAGTTACTAAGACGTACTTTATGGATCCCAAAATGAGGGAATGTTTGCGTCGCAGCAGCAAAAAGAACAACAAAACAAAACATTGAACATAAGTAGAAATTAAAGAGTAGTAAAAAACAACACTAGAATTGAAACATCTCAAAATAGAATGAATACAGCATTACAAAGTAGAAACATATACAGTAGACCGTGAAGATGATACATCTATAAACAATATTGAAGGGTGTTTGAGAAAATAAGTTGTCTCCACTTTATGGGTTGTTTTAATGCACTGACAGTATGTGTGACTCTGAACTGTGTTTGACCTAGCAGCTGCCTCTTGCTGTGATAGGAGGAGGCAGGGCATTTCAGGTTGTTGATATTTATGAGAAGACACATACTTGCTGTCTCCTAAATATCTAATTTCTATGAGGCGTGAAGGAAGAACGTCGCAGATGTCCCCGTCACTTTTCCCACACCTGCTGATGATACTCGATTTAAGACTTTGTTGTTATCTCCGTTTTTGGACTATATAAGCCTGATGTTTGTTCCTGCTCCGTGGAACATACCCCGTGTGAGTTAACCCATATCCTTTGTATGTGATTTAACTCTGCTCCTTCTTGCAAGAATAAATTAGAACCTGATTATTGATTCTCAACCTGGTGTCGAGTGATATTTTCCTAACAAGGGCGTAAGACACAATATACAATAAAGCAGGATGGTACCAATACCACACTGTAAAAAACAACACCGAGAATGGTACTTAAGTAAAAGTATTATTAGGAAAATGTACTTGAGGTATTAGAAGTACAAGTACAAGAAAAAACTATAACATTAGTTTAAATAATGAAGCTGGAACTGTGAATACAAACTGCTGAACTAAA